TGTCATGGCTACTTTTGCCTTGCCACGAGGATGCGGCAGGCATTTATCTGGGGATTTGAGAGTTTGGTCCTGATCAGAGACCAGATGCCTCTCCTGGTGGCTCTCTCCTGTCACCCTGGCACTCAGAAGGCTAAGGCAGGGCTATGAGTTTGAGGCCAGACTGAACTACACAGCCAGACCCTCTTGTAAAACAAAATTTTTAAAAAAGGAATAATCCAAATCAGGCTGCTGAGTGCTGGATTCTCGAACCTGGAGTGGCCACCTTGATAACCAGAGAGAGCTGAGTATTTTAAATAGAAATTGCACAATCTAGCTTCTGGCCTACTTAGCCAGGCATATCTGAAGCAGGGCCCAGGAGCCTTCATTTCTAAAGAGCAGCACATGACATTGTGGAGAGTTGTCGGATTATATCTACTTAATCTAGTTAATCCAGATATATCCTTTTAATTTCAGTTGTCAGTAAAAATTACCTGAGCTTAAGAAAAAAAACCAATCTTCTGACTTCATTTTGATCAAAGTGGAGCACAAGTAATGGAAATTATTTTAAAAATTAACTCAGACATCTTAAGACACAGCCAAGGCTGAGAACCAAGAAGACCTGAGTCTTCAAATCACAGCACTTGGAAATTTACCTGAACTCAAACCCCTGCATTTTTGAGAAAACATATTTTAGAAAAATATCTCTACATTGAGAATTGAAGAATTGAATTAGGGATAGAACTATTCATAGATGAAGAGAATTACATGCATGAGAATGTATGTGTGTGATTACCATAAACTGCTCAGCCCTACTCAAAGAATGTAGAAATCTCTCTCTCTCTCTCTCTCTCCCTCTCTCTCTCTCTTTCTCTCTCTCTCTCTCTCACTCTCTCTCTCTCTCTCTCTGTGTGTGTGTGTGTGTGTATTGTATGTATGTCGTATGTGTGTGTGTGTGCTTGTTCATGTAGGTGTATGCGTGTGCGTGTGTACAGGACAGATGTTAACATCAGGTATTTTCCTCTAGCATTCTCACCACCTTGTTTTTTGAGACAGGGCTTCTCCCTGACCCTGGAGCTCACCAGCTCGGCAGAATGGCTGCCCCGTGATCTCCAAGGATCCCCTGTCTCTGCATCTCCAAGCCTGAAATTACTCACGCAAGCAACTTTTATGTAGATCCTAAAGATCTAAATTCATGCCTGGCCTTTCCCTTACTGACTGAACTATCTAGTCAACCTCATAGATCTTTCAAATGAGCCCTTTGGGCCTTTGGAGGCTCAATTCCCGTGGCTACAGCACTGTTGTAGAGATAGTATCTATCTATCAAGGTGTGTGCAGTGGGCACAATCCTCCATGCACACCACAAGCATTGCATGTTGAAATGGCAGTCCCACTGTCGTTGTAGCTTTGGGAACCGCTTGGTGTTTTTGTATTAATGGTGTCACCTAGCATTCTTGCGTTTTTTTCAGAGAGGCCTCTGCAGAGCACAACTGTGTGAGAACCAAGAGTGGAGATTCGGTGGCCATGTACTTCACCAGTGGAACCACAGGAGCTCCCAAGATGGTGGAACATTCCCAGTGCAGCTATGGATTGGGTTTTGTGGCCAGCGGAAGGTACTGGGACAGCTTATCTAGAAGGTCCAAACCTAAGGTGTATGAGTGAGCAGAGGGAGGAAGTGAAGGAGGAAGAGGTGGAAATGGAGGCCAGAGGGCAACCAGAGGGCAAGTCAGGAAGGCCTTGAAGGCGTTACACTGAGGAAGACAAAACTGTTAGGTATTTTAAATTAAATCAAGATATGCAATGCATACCTTTAATTATTTTTCTTAAAATTGTTCCAGGGGATATATAAAAATTGTTCATAGTTACGGAACACTGTGTGACAGTTTGAAACACATATGTTACACAAGCTTTAAGTCATGGTAAAACTACTCCTGGCCTCAAGCACTTGTCATTTATTTGTGGTAAAATTAAGCATTCAAGATCCTTTCTTCTAGGAAATTTTATCAGTTTAAGTGAATCTCGTCTAATATCATAATATCCACATTTTGTGCACCCATCACCACTATCTGTCTACAGAACTTTTACTTTTCTCAGGCAGAGACTCTAACCCATTATATAAGAGCCTCCCATCTCCCTCCTCCCCCACCTTTCTGGAAGCCTCTATTCTGCTTTCTATCTCTACTACTCGGACTACGTCGGAGCAATACATGATTCTGAAATCTGGCTTCTTTCACCCAGAAAGGATAGTTAGTATTGTCAGGATTCATTCATTTTCTGTTAGATTTTTCCTACATCTACCTTTTAATTTTTCATTAGCATACAGAGTACCAGATATCACCATGGCCTTTTCAAACATAGCATGTATCAGCAGATTCTCCTGCACTCTCATCTCCCTGACTCCTGCTACCTCTGTAACACCCTGTCACCTCTCCTCTGTCATGCCTCACGTGTCCTTTTGCCCCTCACATTCTCCCTCATTACTGTCCTTGGATCGTCTTGGTGTCATGTCTAGTTTTGCGGGTTTACATATACTTGCATACATACATGTACACATTACAGAAACACATGAGCAAAAACATGTGGGTTCTGTCTTTCTGAGATTGAGCTTCCTCATTTAATATATTTCTCAAATCCATCCTCTTTTTGCCATGTGATCTAGTTTTACCTCCCCTGGGCAAATACCCAAAGACTCTGTATCCTACCACAGAGATACTTGCACGACCATGTTCATGCTGCTTTATTCACAGTAGCAAGGAAATAGGACCAGACTATACACTCATCAGCAGAAGAATAGAGAATAAAAATGTGGCACATATTCAGAGTGGAATTTATGCAGCCATACAAAATAAAATTTTCAGGGAAATTTCCCTACTTTTATGACTCAAAGATATTCCATTGTGTGTGTGTGTGTGTGTGATATATATATGTGTGTATATATATATATGTATATATATATATATATAACATTTTCAAATATGTTCAACTGCTGGTGGATACATACATGGGCTACTTCTATATTGTACCTACTGTCCCCACTGTATCTTCTTTGGGTATCTCTCCAGTGTAGAATTGCTCAGTCATTCAACAATTCTATGTTAAGCTTTTTGTTTACTTAAGAAATATTGGATATTGTGAGCAGGGATATGACATGATTCAGTTTAGTTTTTAAAGGTTCCCTCAGGAAGTTGGGTTGATAATAAATAGTAAGGATCAAGGAATGAAGCAGAGTTAGAAAGGAGGACACTACATTAAAACAAAAGCATATTGACTTGTCTTGGGGAACAGAGGTGACAGGAGTGAAGAGGTTATGAACAACTTAAACATGGATATAATGACATTTTCTGACAGTTCAATATAGAGTGAGCATTACATGGCTTATTCTCCCAAAAATAATGGGGAGAAAACTATGGAATAAGCTGGGCAGACGGAAGAAAACCTGAAGTTATTCATTGGCATTACAAACTCAATGAGTTGATTAAATGTCTCCATCCTTCTAACCAAAGCAGAGATGTACAAGTAGAGTATAGATCAGCATGTGTAGAGATAATGAGATTCCTCTCAGGTTCCAGTATACAGATGACAATTAATAGATTGAGGCTGGGTGCAATTTGAAGAGAATGCAGATACATTTCTGCAGTGAAGGGAGGAACAGGAACTGACTTAGAGGGAGACACTCATGATGAGGTCCAGAAGAAAATATGTCCTGGAACCCAAAGGCAATCTTGACAGCCTGTCTATAGCCTGGGTTTGCAGACATCACGCCCCTTTCCCAGGATGTCCCTTCTCTGCTTCACCACCATGGTTCCTGCACATCAGTGGTGCCTATTCAAATGTCCTTCCCACTTCAGAAGCTGTTCTCAGACCCATCTCCACTCTCACCATGGACCCCATGGAAACATGGGATGTCTCTTAATCGATGCTCCATCACCATGGGTCGAGATAATGGTCTCCTTGCTCTGAGTTGGGTGTTTATTCTCTACTATCGTACACGACTTTGATTTTAATTCTTAAAATGTGCTCTCCCATTGATACTGGGCCCTAAGTTGGCCCTCAGTGGGACTCTTCCAGGACATCCTGTTGCTGCACTGTGTCATCGAGATCCTGGAGCTCCAGCAGATCACAGATGGGGTGGATATTGGGCGGGGGGTCAACACATAACCCTGGTTCTGGGCCTGGGTAGTTGCCAGGTTGATCAGCCTATCAGCTCTCCCTGTCTTCACCAAGTGTGAGCTCTCCAGCGTTGACCTGGTTAGTCCACCCCTTGCAGTGATGAGCTTGAACCAGACCAACGGTTCTTTGCAATGAACGCCTGCTTGTAAAAATGTATGCATAAAGGAGTTTACTGTGTGACTCACTGGGTCACACTGCAGCTTCCATGACAGGATTCCCCCTTTCTCCCTTCTTTTTTCTCTTAAATCTTACATTTTTGAGGGGATAGCAGAAGGGAGATGGATGGGATCGGGAAGCATGAAGTGAAAGACACAAAGAACAAATAAAAATAAGGCTCTTCCAGGGCTTCTTGGATACTTATACTTACTAAACTACTTCTACATCCCCAGTGCTAACTCCAGATTAACTTAGGTGACTGTGGAATGGAAAAACTGCTTGTATCACAGTGCACTGAGATTAATTTTCCCGTACAAATTGCTCTCACTAAATGGTGACTTCTTTGAAAGTACGGGACCTGCTCTTCTAATTTTGTCTTCTTGGCCTAGGACACAAATACAGAGAAAGTGTTGAGTAACTGTTTGCTGAGATGGTAGTTGAGCTGATGAAGCTTGTGTAGAATTGTTATGTGAATAATGTAATCCATTCTAAAGGTGGAGCCATTGATGAGGATGCTCTGACTTTCACTTCTTGGCAGGAGGTGGATCGCCTTGACTGAATCTGACATATTCTGGAATACAACTGACACCGGCTGGGTGAAGGCAGCCTGGACTCTCTTCTCTGCCTGGTCCAACGGAGCTTGCATTTTTGTACATGAGCTGTCCAAAGTTGATGCCAAAACTATCCTAAATGTAAGAAAAAAATCCCGGTGCTGGAATCCCTATTACTCTCTATGCAAATGCCCTAGTACTAAGCCCTCATTTTGCAACAGTCATACTATATAACCCCAAACAACCTTGAGCCAGAAGTCTTCTGCAGTTAAGTCCCAAGGGTTGAGGTTGTACGTGTGCACCACCATGCCAAGGGTTGAGG